ACACAGTAATAACATGTCTCTCTTACATACTTTCAATTTATGCCTCCCAAAAATAGAAAAAGCAATAAATGTGGATGACATGTGCAGCAAGCAACCTGAACAAGACAGTACTGAACGAACAGGGAATACTACAAACACATGTACGTTGAATGCTGGAGCCATATCTCCAGCAGAGGCTGATGGTCTTGAAATAATTGCTCATAAACAAAACCCAGCAGTTACAATTGCTAGCACAGATAAACTAATTCCACTTAAAAAAGTGAATGATGATATTCAGATATGCTCCATCAAAAATGGACATTCACTGGAGATTAATAATTCAACAAATAACACATTGTTAAAAGAGAAAAAACTCTTACTGACTGGTACAGTTCCAGGAAGGAAGTTTGCTGAGGGTCACCTGAAAGAATCATGCTCTTTACCCATGAGAACATCTGGAAATTTAGTAAACATAAGTGGAAGGTCATCTTTTGATCTTTCAGCCTCAGATAAAAAAGCTGAGAAAACTCCAGTATATGTAAATTTTTTAGACCTCAGTTCTTGTTCAAGAGTAAATCAAATAAGAGGTCAAGCTGTATGGACTTCAGCCTCCAAGGAGCCTTTCCTTTCAAAAGAGAAACTGCCAGGCTTAGTGGAAAACACAAACGTTACTTCACAAACACAGTGCCAAAATCCCGGTGAGAATGTTGACAGAAGAGAAACAGGGTCGGGTAAGAAAAATAAGCATTTATGTTTGAGGCATGTACTGAATATACTTAGCAAAATTATTAAAATGTAAAATTTCTGCATCTGAGTTTTGTGTAGCAGTAGAAAAATGCAAACCTCCCAACATTTTAGTTGTATGGAAAAAAAAAAAAAAAGATGAGACTTCCCTGTTTATAATATAAATGCAACTAATGCAACTAAACAGCTTTTGTTTGCTAAATTACCCAATTAAAAAACCTTTTTCTCAGATTTGCCTTTGTGGAAGAAAAACGGTGCAATGACAGGCCAAATTTGTATACGTATTTGGAACCCTAATGTAGAACATACTCTAGCTGGGCTCTTTATGTATCTGAAAAGCACTAAGCAGCTTTTGGAAATGATTCGGCACCCTCATTTTGCATAAAAATTAGAATAGTATTTGAAACAGTAGATGCTTCTTAGAATGGGGCTTAGAGAAAGTTTACTTCTTTCTTTTTATTGTACATCTTTAATTCAGATGGACACTTAAAACCATCTGAAAGTGCTGAATGCATGAAATGAGAAGTCTGCGCTTGGAAGTGCTGGAAAACACCCTAAGCTCAAGGAGCTTTTTTATTTCCTATTCTTGGCACTTGGTGATTATTTGCTGAGCAAAACTTTGCATATGCAAAACAGTAAACTGGAGCTTTATCCCTCATTTCTAATTCATTACTGAAGTGTGGAAAAACTGTATTTAGGTTTGTTTTGCAATAAAATTAGCTGCTGGAGTACCCCTATATTTATTTAGTGAAAGTGCCATTTCTAAATTCAGTCTTCAACCAAAGTAATAAACGTGTCATCTCTATTTCCACAGCAAACTGACTCCAATGTGTTTATAGATGTTCCCCCACTTCAGTAACTGTCCAGAGTATAAGATACAGAAGTATAAGAGGAGCCTTCCTTATAAGTTTCCTTACAAGCTTGCATGTGGATTCTGTTCTTAACACATACTGTAAACTTAAAAGAGCAGATGATCTCTTAGGCTTTGGTAGAACTGAAAGCCCTACTTATGTAGAAAAATGGAGCTCCGAGTGCTTAGATGTTTTTTCAGAAGAACTAGATCCACAGTATAGGGTGTGTTTGTTTGAGGCTTTGTTAATGTAGTGTTTGGAGGTTTGCCCCTTGAATGTACCAAAAGCAGAACTGACTCCCATCCCTTAGTTTTGTGCAGTAAGGCAGAAAACCAGCAGCCTGGTTTCTGCACACTGTTCTGGTGTTAGGAATTTAGGTTTATAGGTAACTTCATTTCTGTACTTGGTCTCTTGCCTACATGTATTTGTACACTGATGCACAGTATCTGAAGTTCAGTTTCAGAAAAGTCTTTTTCCCTAAAACAGTAGTGATAGCATGGTAGGAGGATCCTAATCTCAGATGGCACATTAATAATATGAATTTTGATACCTGTTTCAAGAAAATGAATGTGTAGTTATGTGATGTTCTGCATGTATCTTTTCTGTAAGAACAGCCAGCACTATCTGAAGTTCTTTGTTTCTCCTTTTCTTGTCAGAAACCTTTCCGTATGCAAAGTACTGCAATTCCAAGAAGTGACTTTGGGAGATTCCCTCAAAGGAGTTGATAGGGATTTTAAGATATCCCTGCTTCCCCCAGTGAGTCTCTCAGGGACAAGCACAGTCACCAGACCTCTTGAATTCTAGTAATACTTCACAGTGAGGATCTTGGTCTAGGTCCCAGATGTGCCTCTCCCTCTCATTATCCTGCCTAATTTAGCCAGATCCCTACTTCAGCTTGCTGACAGCTCTGAATCCTGCACCTCTTTTGGAGACTAGAACCTTACTGGCAGGGCACCCAAGAGTCACTGTGGCACTCAGCACTACACCTTCCAAGATTTATTGTGTTTGGCTTTTGTTTTGTTTTGCTTTCAGATATTTTCCCAAATAGCAAACCTGGAGCAGAATCCATGTGGATAGTGTTCCTAAATTTACTTATTTTTACTTACTCTAGCACAAACAGTTTTAGCCATACGGGAGACCTAGAGGTGAAGAGCATTGGTGGAAGAATTTAGTAAGCCTATCTGAGGGAATTCCTTTTACTGCCTAACCACAATGCAGTTTACTATTTATACAACTTTGGTTCCCAAAGAGCAGCCACTCCACATGAGTAAACAGAGGAATGAACAGGGAACAGGCTCTTCCTGGCAAACTCTTAAAAAACTAACGCAAACTCGTCACTATCTTCCTTCCAAGAGGAAAAGTTACAGTATTCTTAATTAACTGTTACACAGCTATGCGGTAACATGCATTTTCAGAGCAAAACAAAGATTTTACTGTTGTAGCAGTGATCGACAGGCATCTGCATCTGTGTAGTGATAAAACAGCTGAATGTGAAAGTAGGCTTATGTTTTGATCTTGCAAGGAACTTTATATTGGTTTCAATGGAGTCTAGTAGCAGTACATAAAGCCACTGCAGGATTGGAGCCTTATCTCTGCCTTGATTAATCTACTAATTTGCCCATCCTACCTTTATTAGATAGCTACAGTCTGATTCCCTTAAATATTAGGTATAGCCATTTATAAAAAGACTCCTCATTTAAAATGTTCTTTATCCTTGTATTTAGAATGTAAGTTTTGTTTTCACCCTGGAATATGATGTTAGGATGGCACTAATTATGTATTTTATCATCATTATTGGAAGGTGAGTCTTAATACTGATTGGAAAAAAATACTCCATTAGAATATTCTGAACATACATTTTTTGTAAATAACAATTTATATTTGTCATTAATTTAGTATATAAAAACAGTATAAAACATTTTCAATCAGAGTAAAAACACACCTCATCTTCAGAGACAAAAGCAGATGCAGAAATATGGGAAAGAAAACAAGAAATGAAGAGGGAAAAGCCTAAAACAGAGCTTCAGTGATTTAAACCAAAAATATTTTTTTTAAGATCAGAGGTAAACCAGAAGTTTAGTAACTTTACAATTACTGCCTAGAGACTAAATTGCAGTTGTTACCATTTCCTTTTTGTCACTCAGGTTCTACCAGTTTTAACAGAGCTGCTGACACTTTGAATACCTCTAGCATCCACCGAGCCCCCCAGGGAGACCCTGGTGAAGACTGGAATGCTATAGCAAAGACTTTTTATGATTCTTCTTTTCCCACAGAACATGTAAGTCAATTAAAAATATTGCGAACCAGACCTCAGTGAGCTAATTCCACAGATATTTGTACAACTGTACTCATCTGGATACTTTAAGACTGAGTCAATCTCCAAAATAATATCAAAAGGGCAACAAGGCACCATTTTTCACAATTAAGGTTGATAGAAAGCAGCAGGAAAAAGTCACAGCATATGAATCAAACAGATGCTAAGCAATCTGTTTGGGAGGGGAGAAAGAGGGTAGTTCATTGTGTACCCTAATAGAAATCATCACCTACAGTAAAAGTAGGAGTTGGGTTTTTTTAAAAAAATAAAGGTAGGTAAAAGTATAAGAACATTATTTCCTTTATTAAGACCACATTTCTAAAAGAAATTTGTGAAAAACTAAAAAGTCAGTGTATCTATGAATTAGAGCCTGTCCCTTTATTCTATGCTGGTTACATGATGCCATTTTTAGTTATAGTCTTATTGAATCAGATGACATTACACAAACGTGTAAAAGCAGAGAATTAAAAAGAACCCTATTGTGTTGCTGTTTCCCCTGTAAGACAACCTCATTTCAGAGGGCACTAGCAATGGCTCACACCGCATTTTTAGACCTATGTTAGTCTGTGGAGTTTGAACAGCTGAAATGGCTGTATTAGGATTAGACCTAATGGTAAACATACTATTCACAAGTGATACAATAATTTACAACTACAGTTGACCTTCCTTTTTACAAGAGGCTCTAGAGGTATTTCTCAGGTAGTTATGGCTGTCTCTTTGAATGAAGTTTGAAGTCAGGGTGTAGAGTGTTTTCAAGTGACAAGACTGGCTGACTTCACTAGGCTTAGTCAGCTCTCAGTGCCACTAGCATTCATATTCTCTGAAATTCAGAAGACTGATGTTTTAAATTACTTAACTTTCCTAACATGACTCTACTTGGGAATGACAGCGAGGGTTTTTTTCAACAAACACAGTGGTGGTATTTACTGTGTCTCTCTTGCTTTTTGTGACTGAGGTGGAGTCAGGAATTGAGTGAACTAAAATACCTAATCTACAGCTAACAAAGCTGTATTTCATTATCTGATTGTGGTTGTATCTACTTTGTCACCTCCAAACTAAAGCTTCTTATGTGCTAGGTAAGTAAAAGCTGAGATGGATAAGGACAGAGTACCTTGCTAGTTTGACCTTATATTATTTTCCAAATACTCAATCTTTGAAATCTTAGCCTGGGGCATTGCAGACCACTCCTTCCCTTCTGTGGTGGTGTAATTCTAATAGCTTCTGTCCTCAAATTTGTCATGTTTATGAGCGATATGGAAAAGCTGTTGGGAGATTAAAAATAGGCTTGGACATCTCTTTTGCTGCTCAGTTTGTTTGTTCTAACGTGGTTAGAGCTAGAGCAGACTTATGCCTTCCAAAACTTGGGTAATCTCATTCAACCAAAGTGCAGTACTCTAAACAGTGATGAAAATTAAAAAGAAATGCTACAACTGCACTTTAAAATTTTTTGTAAAAAATATTAGAGTGTTTTACACATTAGTCTGCACATGCCTGAGTACCAAGGGAAGGATGAATAAGCATCCTCAGCTCAGTTTAAGCACAAGTTTCTAACTGTGCAGTCATACTATTCAGCAGTGAATGATTTTTACATGTATGTATCCCACACGTTGCCATGTTACTAGCAGTAAGATACACATTTTACTTGTACTTAATTGTGAGAATGCTGAGGACGTTTAGTTTGACAGTTTTTTTTTTTTAAAAAGCTTTATTCCACACACATTGTCACAGATCTGTATTAAAATTATACATATATATTTATAGATAGATACATGTATTACTTAACTGCAGTCACTTCTCCAAAGAGGTCTAAACACTTGTTTTCCTCAGTAAAATCCAAACAACATGGCATGGCTTTGTTTCATTAGAAAACTTCACTTACACCTGTGGAAGATCTAATGAAAGTTTTTCTCTGGGGTTGTTAGTACAGGACAGATGCAGCCCCATGTGCTATTCCATAGAGATTTTGACTAGCAGCTTGCAATGAAGTATGATCTGTTTCTTTCCGAGGCCTTGGGAAAGAGCATGGGAAAAGCGTATGGGTACAGCCATTAGAATTAACAGGTTCAGTACTTCATATCTCCAACAAAGTTATTTCCTTGCTGAAACAGAGATTAGTCATTATTGACCTGAAGTATCTGTTCTCAGCTGCATGGAAGTAATGCTATTACACATGCAGTAAGCTCAATGAACAATTTGTATGAAGTTTAGTATTCATATTTTAAACTTCAAGAAATGCTTGTGTACTGGGGAAGGAGTTTTAGCACAATATTCATGTGCATAAAGGCAGGCCTGATAAAGACTATGTGGCTTAGTCACTTGGGGCACAGGTGCTCAATATTAAAATATAATTGAGCACTAGGAGACAGCCTTATATTGTGATGTCTGTAATAGAATTGCTCCAGCATGCAACCAGAGCATTCAATGTCATGTTACAAATCCCCAGGAACCACTGCAACACTGGCTCACATACCTTGCTTGTGCTGTTCCTGCGTGCTGGCCTCCCCCAGAGCCACAGTGCTGGATTATAAGTGGAGAACTCATCATTCAAGCAAAAAAAATCCATTTCCCTACTGTGTTGTCGTGTATTTGATTTGGATATATACAGAGAATCTATCAGATAGTAATTAAAATTATTCAAAGAAAAAGATATCTTTAACATAAAAAAAACCCAACCTATTACACTTTGCATTAGTTAATGATGGTTGCTTTCTAATGTGTACAGTGAAGCAGAGAGGGAGTTAAAACTCTAAACCTCACAATTTTGGGTTTTGTTAATCAAATGCTTGCATAACTATAGAAATGTCAATTACAACGTTATACTCTTCAATTAAACTAGTTATTTTGCTAATCTGCATTCCAGTACAAGGTTCGGGTTCATTTAATCACAACTCTTCTGTACAAAGTCTTACTTTAAGGCTTGGTTTATAAAAGTATATTTATCATTATCAAGCTTTCTAAATTAAAGCTGAAGCAAGCATTTCAAATTAATTCACCACCACCACCACCTGATTTAATCTTTCTATATACATTTCCTTGCTTGCTTAATGCTCAGCAAAATCTAACAATTTGAACCTCTACCTGAATTTCACTGGATTATTAACTGCTAAATTTGTATTCTGTCAGGTGAAAGGAGGATTTACTGCTTCACAGCATGAGAAATCTCCTCAGGTGACTGTAGCTCCAGCAGGAAATGCACTCAGTGAGAAGGACAGCTGTTCTAGTCATAACTCCATCATACAAAATGAAATGGAAGAAATTGAAAAATTCTTGAATTTGGAACGAGTTCATTCAGAAAAAAAAAGAAAATATGAAGGAGGCCAGTGAGGATCAGTGGCAGGAGATGAAAAGCATGTCTTTTAAGCATAGATAAATCACTTGCCTAAACCAGATTTGCAGAGGTATTCCTATGGAACATAGCATGCATGCACTGTGCTTTCATATATAATACAGCATATAGACCTAGTCATGTTTAGAAATGGATGTAATCCCTGCTAATAACATTAGTTCTCTGTCTCTGCAATCAAATCCCGGCTGTTATGGGCTTTTCCCCAAAGTTAAGAAGTTCACAAGTTAATGTTTTAATATCCATTAAGTAAAACTAAACGATTACTTAAGAGTTCCCTTTTGGTCCTCAGAAGCCTGGCGGAAATACTTTGTTTTCTGTGTCAACTGCTCGCTCAGTTTTCAAACTAGATCAGCTGCAACTGTTTCAAAATAAAAAGGTTTCTACAAACACAACAACTTACAGCAGTTCTGAGTGGCAGAACAGGAAAATCTGCTTACCTTTACTGCTAAATTATTTAAATATATGTTGTAGTTGATCCTGTATCAATAATGTCTCTTTTGACACTAAAGCATCTGATATGATTAACTTCTACCTGGTTCACATTTTTTCTCCTGTAGGCTATAAGGGAAATTTTCCCTTACTTTACAATTACCTGCACTATCATTTTTCTGATCTCCCTTCCTCGCTCCCCACACCGCTTGCAAAGAAAGACATTCTTGTTGAAGTTTACAATACGAAGAAGAGAAGCATAATCAATATTGCTACTGTTAGTTGTTGCGATTTATGTAAGAAAATCAACAGAAAGTATTTTCCCATGTTTGTTTTATTGCCTTTTGTCCTGTTGCAATTTAGAATATTTAGCTTCCTTAAACCAATTGCAGAAATTTTGGAAACATTCACAAATTATCAAAGTTTTGAATAAATTTCACCTATAGTGACATTACTAGGTAAAAAAAAAAAAAAAAGTTTTAGGTGTCTGAGAGACTGAGGAGACTGTTTTTCACTTGATTCAAGTTTTGTTTCCAGGTGTTTAGAGTGTCATACAATTGCTGCCACTGCTGCTTTCCAAAGGTCCGATGTGTGCTGTGACTAGAGAAGTAAAACAGAATTGGAAGATGATTACTAGCTGTCATAATCACCTAGTAATTCTTTTATAGCACTACTTTACTCTCACAAGTGAATAGGAAAATTTTTATTTTCCCTATATAAGGGGCTCCACTTAATCATTTAAGAGAATCCTTTAGCCTTCCCAAATATTTAAAGCAGCAACAGTCATTAGTATTTGTGTCACTATTAGATCATTAAATGAAATGTGCTGGAAAGTAGGACTCTTTCATTAAATAAGTTAATCACATTCAGTGTGAGCTTTAATAAAATTATGATAAATAGCAACTATTTAACTACCAGCAACTGATAGGAAGAATACCTTGTTTCTAGTTAAAATACTCTACAAATGTAAATCCAATAATTAGAGCACAGTAAGTTCTGCAAAATCCTATGAAGAATTAAGTCTTACCTGACAACTACTTTCCTCTGTGTCTGATCTATTTTGCAGTATACCATCTTTGTCTTTACAGCTGCAAAAAAGCAATGCTGTTTTGAGCAATGTTCTCAAGATAGTGCAAAGGTATTAAACTGCATAAAAACCATTAAAAGTTAAATCAATACAAAGATGAAACCACAGCAGTTCATTTAATACAGGTTTGCTGTTGGTTTTAACAGTCTAGTAGGCAGAAAAGCAAAATGATGGAATAAGATGAAGGCCATGCATGAACCCTGTTGTTTGTTGCCTACCTATTAAAGCAATATCCTGTACAGTTTTTATGAACTTCTCTCCCCTACAAACACATCCTGTTTTAATGACAGCAAAGAGAACCAGATAACAAACCTGCAAACAAGTTACTAGTTCTATAAAAAAATTATATGAAATATAGTTCCTGTCACTGGAAAGGAAAACACTGTTTAAGAGACGCAGTTAGGCTTGGTTTTGAGCATAAAGTTTTGCAGCCACATCTTGTAACAAACGCAGAAATTAAAAATTAGTATTTTCCTTAATATTTAACATTAGCTGAGAAGACTATAAATAGTATTGTTCATTAGTACTGAGTAAATTATGGTACTGCGGTTCTTACCATCAATAACAAATGCCTCTACATCATCAGCTCCAATCTGCAGTTCCTGTTGCATTGTGTCAAATGATATTTCTTTATTCTCTACAGCCATTCCCATGAAAGTAAGTAGCCTCATTTTTGCCATATTGTGTTCGTGCAACAAGCCTGTGTAAAAGTGTTGACAGCTTATGAATTATAACTCAGTAGCTCATTGTTTTCCATGTTATTCTTAATACATGCTTCCAATAATTTAAAATTTATTTCACATCAAGAAAATATTCCATCTGTCCTGATGAACATTTTTTGAGGTATAACATCAGTTCCTGGATCTTCCTTATGCTTTGTTAAAACAGGTAATTTAGTTCTGAATTCACCAAGACTCAGTTGTTGTCAAGTGAAAGGTCAAAAATATCTATGAAAGTGATGCACAGAGGTTTTTTTAAACATTAAAAACATCACCTGAACAAAATTTTAGGTGGCAAGGGTGCAAGTGAATGTCTCTGTTCATCTGGAAGAACAGCAATGCAAGAACAAGTGGAATATCCATAAATGGTAATGTCAAAACGCTCTTACAGCCTCACCACGCGTGCTCATGTAGTTGCTTGAAAATAAACCTTTCTCACTAATGGTTCAGCAACATAACATTTTTGTGCCAGAAGAATGTGTTTTGGCACCAAATTAACTGTTATATCACAGCAAAAAGCATCACATGTCACATATGTGCTTACAGTATCTAGCATGGCAATAAAGTGCTCTTCAAGAATAGAGGAAGAGTTATTAAAAGTTAGGTTAGATCTTTCACATGATTGTATGAATGGCAACACAAGGCATTGAGCCAAAGGCCTGCACACCTCAGAGGCTGCTTTCCTGAAAAAAAAGCAAAACCCTAGGTCAACAAAGTTGAGACATTCAGATGAACCAAGGTATTCCTTAATCCAGGCTCTGTGTGATACCAACAATGGTTATGGGGAAGTTTCTTTAAAATGAGTATCAAACATTTTGTTTCAAAATAACATTATAAACATTCACATTGCTTCAGTAAACAATTTAAGTTTGGAATTTATAACATCCATTACATAACAGGAAAGCCCGTTAGTGCACGACATCGTGTTGTTTTAATTAGCTATAATTATGATGCAGGTTCCCTGTTTGGCACTGATTCAACAAAAACGCGATCATAATTCATGCAAATGAGGAGCACCAGCAACTATACCTAACTGGGTTTAATGGAACTCTACAAGCATCAAAAAATCAATTAGCACACATTAACCCTAATTAACAAATGCAAATGAGATGCTGATTAACTTTCTGAAAAAGACTACAGATTAGATGTGGCCATGTTAGGGCGATTCAGTTGACACAGACAATTCTACTGCTGGCCTAAATTGTCAGCATTAATAAAACAACAAATGGTCACAAATGGACACCACCTGTAGGAGCTTCTCTGCACCAGTTTAGACTAGTCCTAATCCAGAGAAGGTTAGAACTAAAGACAATGCTGCACTGGCACTAAAATCCTATTATTGATGCCATTTATTTTAAAGCCAAATATGTTGGCAACTTGTTAAAAAATGAAATAATAATCTTTAAAGCATGGTTAAAAATATGTTTGTTTCTCACAACAGATCACAAGTGCCCTGGAGAATTTTGGAATGCCTCATCTAGTAATTGTATTGTTCCTACAGCAAATTGCCCTTGTTTTTCAAAGGCATGGCTGAAACACTCAGACCAAGTTCCTAGCATTCTGACCTAACCTGCCTCAGAAACCCCATCTTGTCCACTGCTCAGAGACATTCAGAATTTTCTGAGTACAACATAAAGCAGGTGAGAAATCAAGATAACTGGAAGTAAGGCTGTCAAAACAGTTGAGTTTCAAAGTTTCAAACCAGTTACACAAATACTTAAGGGTTTTACTATTGGAAATGCACACACCGTAAATTCACAGAGGTAAACACAGATACAGGGAGGCAGAGCAAAAGAAATCATGACTATGGTACACTGTATAATTAATGCCAACTATATATGTAATTAACCTCCCATAACTTTATTCAAATGTTACCGTAACAGCATTTTCAGCAAATACTTCTGTGCACAACTAACATAAGCCATTTCAATACATAAAAATAATTACATTGCAAACCCCACTTTCCGCTAAGAAAGAATGGTGTAAGATGGCTACCCAAGTAATGTGCAAATACATATGACAGTAGGTGTGCTTATTCTACATACATATTTACAAACTACCACAAACTTGCTGCTAATTTTATCCATGGAAAAAAAATCACACTGACATTTCCATCATTTTAATACCTGAAGTACCAGCATTTTAAAGCTTTGAGGGTAATTATTCTCAAAATTATACCACACTCCATTAAACAAAATAATGCTTCCTTTTAAAGGCTGCACTAAACTCTGTTTTAGCAAAACTCTGCCTTTCCCTAAATGCATTCAGCCAGTGTTGAAGTGTCATTTCAAAATCAAAGTTATAAAAACAAAACAGAAAAAAATAACCCCAACCCTGATTTTTATGGAAGCATTCATTCATTACCAATATGTCAAAACCTTAATGCAGTAATAAAAAAACCTGCATCATTGAGCAATTTCTGCATTGTCGCTGACCCCTGTCCTAAAAAGCTGGAATATAAAAAATGTAATTTTAATGCATGCAATACCTTATGAACCAGTGCTCCTTTGAAACAGTCAATTACACATCAACGGGGGAGTGTCAAAGTGTTAATTACTACTCCTTTTTTCCACAGTGTGTAAATAAAGAGGGTGCTGACATTAACATTCCATCACATCACTTCATGTGATGAAACAAATTAACTGGGACAGACTGAGGCTTGCTAGCTCTAATACATAGCACATACAGACACACACACTATTTTACATGTTTTATCTTACTTCTCCTGAACAGTATTTGCTGCTATAGAGTTATTAATCATTAAAAAAAAAAACTGTAAGAGATTTTACAAACTGCTGGCTTACTCTACAGTTATGATCTCTGGCCTAGGCTAGATCACCAGTGCATTAAAATTCTCTCCTGAAAGGTTTAAGAGAAAAGAAATAGGGAAAAAGAACAGTTCGTCCTAGCAGAACAACCCACAGTCAGATGGTCCACGTATGATCCAGTGGAGCTTAGGCTGTACAAGCTGTAATCCATTCTGAATAATTCTCATTAAATTTCCTTGGTTTCAAACTAAAGCACTAAGCAGCTTCTGTATCTTATGCCATGTATAGTAGTTAGAAATGGAATGATCTGAAAACTTACCAAGGGAGTCAATGAAGTCTTTGTTGTTCTGATAAAACTTGACATAGGATGCTAGTTTAGCACTTACAAAAATGGTCAAAAGCTAGAAGATGGAAAACAAATAGAAGAACAGTTTAAATATGATCTATGTCTCCCTTTCTGCATGCTGGACAGATATATATATATATATAAAAAACTCTTAGCATTCAACAGAAAAATAAACCATTAAGAGCTAAAATTATGTCTGCCGTCAGTAGCTGAGGGCAATCTGTGCTGAGCTTACTTCCCTTTGTCAGGCTTGAAAGGCATTTTGCTAAAGAGCTCATGTGAGGGCAAGTCTTGCAACTGAGTTTCTGAAACTTCTGAAGGGAAACATTTCACATGGTATCTTTAATTCTAAAAGCATTAAAAGAAATCGTACATTGCAGCTCAGTATTACTGACAAAGGCAATTATTTGAATGAATTTCAAAAGACATGATCAAAACCCGGAACTCTACAGACACCAAACCATCTTCCTAAAAACAAGTTACTTACATCATGAATAAGTTCTCCTTCCAAAAATTTCACAGGTTTTAAGGCAAGAAGATGATCAAAGAGAAAGGTATTTGGATCCTTCAGTGCTCGTACAATACATCTAATGAGAAAAGGAAAATGCTTGTTTTTACAGCAGTACACATTTTTAGGAGGAAGTGCAACTCAATTTGTTGTTCCCTGCTTTCAAGAAAAAGCCCAAGGGTTTTCAACTCTTCTTAAATGTAAGATATGTCACATTCCAATTTTAACCTTCATTTTCACAGACAGAAGAAAAAAAGAATAGAAAGCATTAAAGAATTTGCCCAGCATCACAAAAGAGATTTTCCAGGTGGTAAGACTACAATCACCCTACTGTTTCCATCTATGCATTTATTTCCAGCCCAGCCTTCATTCCTAGAGGTATTTTTACTGTTGTCCTAAAATTTCATAGAACTAAGCTGTTTAGGAAGATTACTTATACTTGCATATGTGACACAAAACAGAGAAAACCCCAACAGCAAACACTGCAACCGATAAATCATAGGCCTCATAGCTCTCGACTATAAACAGGCCTAAAGGGTTTCTAGAACTGTAGACTAAAGCTTTTGGTCTGTGGCACAAGAGAAACCCTGGCCTAGACCACCACCCGGCCACATAAAGTACCCCCAGGAGAAGCCAAGGTTGCACAGACACTGCAGTATGAGAAACCCTAGGCAGATGCGTTCTTCTGGAAGTAAAAGGCCTCAGATCGCTGTAGGGTAAGTCAACGAGGTTTTCATTTATGCACAGACACTTTGATTTTCAAACTGACTCATCCTGATTCTCCTCCATGCTCAAGCATAAACAACTCCCTTGAAAACTGTTGGCTGTACACACCCATCAGAGCCCCACAACTTAATAAAAAAATCTAATTCCCAAGGTAGAATGTCAAAATACAAGCTTTTACTCCTTTGGCCAATGGGGAAAACACACTGTTAAGAATCAATTTACTGTCCGATAAGTAAGTTTATTTCTGTGCAGTTCACACCTTAGTACTTGCTCATAGAAAAGAGAGCAAGCATTTTTTTTTTCCAACAGAATCTGCTATCTGCAAAGAACACTGAATATTAGAGAATCAAACAATCAGTAAGTAAAAAATGGAACTAAAGAATACCCATTCAAATTCTGATTGCACAGTTGATTTAAATGGAGTCAAGGTTGATCCCTGTCTCAGCAATGACCAGAACACACCTATGCACTTGCACAATGGAGTAAGCCTGGCTCTGCCTAGAAACAACTCAACCTAGTGTAGAGTGCAGAAATAAACCCTTCACTAAGTCAGCCAGGCTACAGAAGAGGCTGCAGCAGGGCCCTTGCCTGCCAGGCCATGTGACACTCTTCAACAGTAAGGCAATCAACACACCGTAGCAACTGATGAAAAGCTACTTTTAAGGAAAGTGGGAAGTCAATATTACCTGTGAGCATCAACTCTAGCCTGGGAAGCATTGTCCTCTGTGTAACTTCCTAGTAGTTCCACCATTACTTTTGCTGCGGTGTCACTGTAGAAGAAAAATAAAGTTACCTCAGGACTGCTGAAAAAGATACAGTTCAAACAAGACACTCAAATGTTTCAATAATTCCATTACAACATTATAGGTCAAATTAAATTACACTTGAAAAAGATATAGATGATCCATTTTTGTTCTAGTGGAGAGAACAAATTAACTAGATGTATTCTTTCAATTCTTGTTCTACAAAATTGTTTATCTTCACCCTTCATTTCATTCTCTTAAATTGATAAATTACCTGCTGGTTATGGAAAAAGCTTTCTGAGGTAGGAACAGCTTTATGTGGTTCACCAGAATGCTCTTTTTACGCACATCTGGATTTAATCACTGCACAATAAGTAGCCCTGAAAAGTTTATTTGAAAGGTAAAATGGCATATCTTAAAGAATATTTACGGTCAGGAAAATGACTGTATAAAAGCTGCTTTTTCTTCTTTCAGAGATTCTCTCTTCCAAGTATTCTGAGTGAGAGCTGCTCATTTTACTGAGGAATTTAAGCAGCCAGCACTTAAGATCAGCTTAGGCTGCTGTAAAGCAAGCAGCTTCCAGTGCTGCTTTGACAGACAGCTTTCAGAAACACAATTCATCCAAAGAAAATGGAGCCTTGTCTACCCACCTGATTATTTTGTGAACAGCAGCTCATCAATGTTACTGCAAACCAGCTCCAAGACCGTTACTGTGTCACTTCAACAGATTTGGATTTATTTTCACTTAACAGTTTTCACCACTAGTGGGGCCAAGAGCTGCTGGTGGTTTTCATAGTATTTTCAGCAAAAAAACATACATACTGAATATGCTCTGTATACACACACAAAAAGCTATTTCCTGTTTCTCATGGAATTCTTGTTAACTATTAAAATAGAAGGTGTGACAGTTATTCTGTACAGAGAATAGCTTTTGTTGACACCATCTAACCACCTCCTTTGAACAAGAGAGGGTGTGGAGGTAGATACCACCACAGTTCAGAAGCGAGACACATCCACAACTGAGTAACACGAACACGTGCTTTGCATAAGACCCCACACACATACACAGACTGGAAACTACTTGAGGTACTTCCTCAGTGGACAGGAGGAAAGCTGGATACTACTCTCCAGAGTACAGCGAGTTACAGTGTAAAGATAAGCTCTTCCTTCAAAGTAGCTCATTTTCAGATACAACAGATTTCCCCATGTGGTCTAATAGCCTACAGAATTTTCCTTAAAAGAATAAAAATTATAAGGCTCAAGAATAAAGATTCAATTCACTTTAATTACTTAGGTTAATGGTATATATTACAGAGGGAAGGAACAAACCAGCACAACACTCCCAGTACATGCTGTTGTGTGCTGTGAGACAGGTTTAACTCATATAGCAGCACAGGTTGGAGTGGTTTTACAATACAATGACACCATCTTTATGCAGGTACTTATTTTAAATCTCACAATAAGCCCATCTGACAGCTTCTCTAAAGGGTGAGGTTTTGTGTTTCTACAGAATTTACCAGATCTCACAGATGTGCAGTACAAATATGAAGACATCAGGGGAAGCAAGTGATACCATATATAACTTGGATGTACACTGAGTCAAGACACTTTGTGACCAAGGCACAAAGCACCTTTAGATCCCAGCTATTATCCCAGAACTGTGTTCAGGGATTGAAACATGAATGAAATGTTTGTCATAGAAGTCCAGCACTGAAGAGGTCAGCTCACATTTGTCATGCCAACTGACACTGGTGTGTAGAGGAACTGATAGCTCTGTATCAGTGAAAAAAATTTAATTCAGACAGCTTTATATAGGAGGGAACCATTTGCATATAAAGCAATCAGTGACAGACTATGACTTTTGCATTTATGAGATCTTATCAACACTAGATGTTCTAGTGAAGACGAAAAAACAATTTAATACAGGACTGATACCATATAGACATTCAAACAAGGAGGCTCAGCTCATGTGCTATTCAGCCTAACAATACCAGACTCCTTATTTAATAGAAACCTTCAGTAGTTGTTCTTGTACACTTCAGAAGTGTGGTACAGATTTCTGGAACTTTTCCTCTCCTCCCATTCCCTTATGAGCAAAACCAGAAAACTATGCATTTAACTAATTTCAAATAGTATTTGTAATCCCCCCCACCTTTTTTTTCTTTTTAAAGTGAGGAAGAAGTGGAATCTTTCACTTGTATTTCTAAGAAACATCAGAATGCTCCAAGACTATTACCCCTGAACTTCCAGTACTAAGTTCTTGTGAACCTCAGCAAGTATGGCAGGCCTTTTAATCTTACTCGTTCCATTCACTGTCAGACTACTACCGTAAGTTAGGGTGTTTAATGCAGGAACATGGATCACTATTTTACCAAAGCTCATTGCTAAATGTGTCTCACCTAAGATGCAAATGTGAACATTTTTTTCTAGCAAGATAGTTTGCACAGATACTAGCTACTCTTGCCAGTCTAGATATGCAACTTGACAAAAAGCCAGTAAGAATAGAAGCTAGGGTGGATAAAAGAAAAAAAAAAACAACAAACAAACCACAAAGCATTCAGAGACTTGGTAAGTTGTTGGAATCAAGTCCCTCTACATAACATGATACTAAATGGAATTAAAATTAAATGAAACAATTATTTTACAGGTGCCTGACATGCTAAGCTTTTTGGGACATGTATTAAGAACCAGTCCTGAGTGTAAACTTGGGCAGGCCTAATCCTGCTCTGAACCCTGCCAGGTCCATGGCAGAGGACAGCTGTAAATTGCACAAGGCTGGTGCCTGGCAGGGCTGCACAGCACAACCGGCTGCATGCAAGGCATGCGTGCCTATAAAACTCCATCTGTAACTGGAAAAGAACACAGGTTTTGTTACCTTGCAACTTCATACCAACACAGCTATGAAAATGCTGAAAACTAAAGCAGCCACACAAAATTACTGCAGAACCTTTATGGCAAGGAGAACAGTCAGCAGAGAATTAAGACTCATCTCTTGCAATGTTCAGCTACCAAACATAGCTCTCAGAAACAAGCCACACCAGCCATCTGTTTTCCAGCCACCACCACCAATTTTCTTCAGTTGATTATGGGAAAGATAAAACTCCCTCTTCAAAGAGATTAAGATGATTTTTGTCATCAGAAAGAAGAAACTTCAACTGGACACTGACTAGAAAAGATCTGAAAAATCAAGCGTTCTCTTACCACTGCAGGAAAATGAACACCACACATAATATCTGCATGATCTAATTATCAGGAGCTACGTATCTGTTTACTACCAACTTATCCACTCAGGAAAAGTCTCTTAGCTATGGAAAAACACCTCTTCTGCCACAATGAACAAAGTTAAAATATAAAACAAACAAAAAAAGTTACACTCGATTGTTTCCAACAATGTATTCTTCTCCCATCACTCCAACATGGTAACTGAGGTATGATTTTTATTACTTACTTTTCAGTTCCCACTACCTTCACATACTGCTAGATAGAGCAACATTCCTGAGTGCTAAAGCTGGAATGCTGCTGTGAGTTTCCCATGCTATAGCAAATACTGTCCAGTGATCTAGGAGAGTGAACCAGGAGGTGCCAGGGCCACTTCCGGTTTTCCTTTCTGGATAGAAGTGTAAGTGCTCTGAAACACTGCTCCATTCAGTGCAAAGCTTGCTGCACCAGATGGTAAGGACACTGAGTACAGGAGTAACATACTACAGGATCTGTGAAAGTTTTTAACGCTCAAGTTAAAAATACCACTTATTACTAGTAAGCAGAACCCACTTGGTAGCAATGTTATTGGCAGTACTGGAAATAAAAAATCCAGATTTGATAACAAGACTAGCTAAAAGCAGCCATTAAGAATGGGAATTAAGCTAGTTAAAACCTCTCAATAGATCAGTAAGATGACAAGTGTTTAAAAGAGTAAGCGTGTTATAGAGTATCAGTTTAGTATTTCTGAAACAAAGTAAGCACTAAGCCACCTATAAGATCTGATTAACATTTCTGAAATTATTTTTACCATTTGAAATCTTTCATACCAGACTACCAATGCAAAAGTATTTTAATGTTAGTGACAGGAACAAGAATTCCCAATGACGTTGTAGTAGCTCACAGCTCCCTGAGGATTAATCATCACTAAATTGAGGTTAGCTAAAAATGATCCTGCTATGCTGATGTAGCATTTCTAGGCTACCATTTCATCAGGCCAGAATAAGCTAACTCTCCTGCCAGAAGAAACTCTCTTCCTCCTAGGACAGCTCAACACTTGCCTTTTTTAACCCCTGGCAAGGCCACCTCCCCAGTCCAGTCCTCTGTGCAGTTACACATATGCCGACACCAGCACACATGCGCACAGGTACTGGTACCAGGAAAGGACAGGACAGAATTGTTTCCTCTGCAGCAGGACAAGGCTATACAAATGTTCTGCCACTGGTGTAAGTCAGCAGTGTAGAGGTCCTGATGCTGCCCCACTATGAAAACTAAAACAAACCTCAGTAAACTAACTCAGAAAACAGAGAGAAGGGGAATGGTGGAAGGAAGCAACACATATCCCAAACTACAGCAGGGACAATTCAGATAAGCTGAAAACTGTTGTGGAACTACTCGCTGAAACCACTTCTGGATACCAGCCCATCTCTACAACCCTGGCCAATGCAGTCAATACACCATATCACATCTCTTAAGATAGATTGATGACAAGTCTCGGTTAAGACATTAATTTAGAGACGTGATACACACGGGATTACTTTGCATGCCAGAAGACACTGGTCTGCCAAGTCTGTTAGATCAAAGATGATGCTTGTGATCCAGGATAATAATTTAAAATGGCCAAGCAGGTATTCTGTGGACATTAATTTCCACGACGAGTGGAAAGCTGTGTCCTTAAGGTAACATTTACATAAAAAGACTGATTCTGTTAACTGTGATTGATAAGCCTCCCAGCATCATTAAGTAAGAGACAGCACTGCTATGCACTAAAATGTCAAAAGTGTAATTAAATAATAAACTTGGCATGCATGATGCTAAAATGCTCAGAGATTAATATCTATAGAAAGGAATAGTTTGATTTTGGGAGTCTGCTGTTTGCAGCTAATTCACTACTAACTTTAATATTCTTGAAAACACTGGTATAATGCAAGAGTGCTTAAGGACATCAAAAGAAGAAAACCTAGGTGTATTTGGACAACCGATGCAGCTTAATTTTAAAAGCACCATGAGAAATACTTTCCTTACAGATCACTTAAAATGCATCAACTTAAAATACAGTGGTCTAGTATCTTATCACATCTTTCATACCTTTTTTTGCAGTCTACCAGGACATCATACAGCAGTCTCAGGAGAGTATGCTTTTTCTCGGTGCCAAGGTTCCAGTCAGAAATCCATTTTCGGACCTAAGTAGAATACAAAGTGAAAAAGAAGCACTGGGGAAAAGACTAAAATAACCCTGAAAATATTTCTCATTTCCTCTCAAGCCGAAAAGGATTGAAAAGGTCTTGCATTGGGATTTCTCCTTTGGGTCCTCTGACTCTCCATGCAGAACCTGGAAGTTCTCCCATGAGAAGCCAGACACCTATGCTCTCCCTGTTACTTCCTAAGTAAGGATGAGTGATTCTAATACACTCTGATTCCAGAGCAAGGGACAAGAACTTGATGCCTCACTCCTGATCAAAGCTTCTCACTTTCATTACTATCACAGGAATCAAACTGACACATCTAACCACATTCAGCATCAGAAACAGAAAATAAATGACAACTTGATTTAGATTCTGCAGACTATCTTTAAATAAGGAATATCTTTAAAAGATAAGAAATTCTGTAGCCTGCATTTTTCATTTCACAAAGCTCTGGCAATTTATAACTGCAATGGTCTGTATCAACTGTGACTAATATTTAGTGAGATGCAACATGGTTAATGCAAAGGCTGTAACTTGAAGCACCACATTAATTACCTGATCTAGTTCAGTTGGAATGTACTGGATGGCACCACATGACGAGGCTACTTTAAGAAGGCTGCAGTACACGGTGTATCTCACAGGAGTGTTCTTATCCATACCATGGAAGAGATTGCTCAGCCTAAACCACAAAAAATGAACAACTGAGTTAAAGAGCTTTCCAAAAACATTATTGGGGTGCACACAGATGTTTTTATTAAGATGAAGGTAAAAAAAAAACCAAAAAGTGCTTCCTTCAACAGAGAAACTTTGATTTAAAGACATACAAGGTCTTTAATATCTCTGCAAGATACCATTGCCTTGCTTTCCTCTGCGCAATACTTACAGCTGCAATCTAAGAGATGGGCGCTCTCCTTCCCGAAATTTTACTAACTTCTCACACAGGTTTTCAATCAGTGCTTCTTGTTTGTCAGGTTCCAGGATAAGCAGCAAAGAGACTACACTGTTCATCACACTCTCAACATCTGTGCAAAACAAAACAGGCAGCTGTTTAAAACAGCAAGCAGCATTCATCAGTAGCTATTCAGTGCTGGAGAGTTACTTCTGTTATGAATGATTATTTGGCATTGGCAAGAACTGTAAAAGAGAGGAAATGCCAAGACAACCAACATGGATATTCATCAGAATGTACCAGAGATTTGGTTCATGTAGTCTTTCACCAACATATCTCCACATAAAGCAAAAATTACCATTCTGAGGTCAAAGTGGAATTTGGTATTGGGTGTCCTGCTCTGAATTCTCTGTTCACACATAAGAGAAGTCAGAGGAACTTCAGGTTTTGGTCTTAAACAGCAGCTTCAAGAAAACTGCTGCAGGGTTCTACAGAGAATACTAACACCTAATGCTCAAATACAGTAAAACATTTCACAAGGATATACCCACATATGAGAAGCACAAGAGATACCCAGATCAGAGGGAAAATGCCTGCAAGAACAAAGTATATTCAAAAGCCCCCTCCCCCCCCAGCTCCTGTTTTAAGCACAGTGTTCTACCCCTTCCAAACAGGACCAGGCAAGTTTGTGTTTTCTTTTCACAGTCTGCCCAAATATCAGTTACAGAAAGGATAAGAACAAAATTCCTTACATATGTAAAATACTGTTATTCCCCGAAATGACACCTGACCATCAAACAGCAGAGCAACAGCTTCTCTAGTATGTCATATTAATTTGCCTACAGTAAAAGGCAACATGAAAAATCATTTTGAGTACTCCTTCTTAGATGAACCAAGTGTTCCTTCAAACAACACGTTATTCCTATCAGCTGTTGATTTTTTTACATGCAAAAGTTCTAAATGGAACAAGCATGCTGGTACAGTGCACAGCAGGTACATACATGTTTAAGGCTACCACAGCATTATCTGTGTCATTAAAACACACTGTTACAATTTCTAAGGATCCACAGCCCTAACTCAGTAACACTTAGTGACTATTGAAAATCCTAATGTTTTCAGACAATAAACAGAATAGTTTGGGTTGGAAGGGATTTTAAAGCAGTTCCAACCCCCTGCCATGGTCAGGGACACCTTCCACTAGACCAGGCTGCTCCAAGCCCTGTCCAACCTGGCCTTGAACACTGCCAGGGATGGGGAAGCCACAATGTCTCTGGGCAACCTGTGTCAGGGCCTCACCACCCTCACAGTAGAGAACTTCTTCCTAATACCTAATCTCAATCTCCCCTCTGACAGTTTAAAGCCATTCCCCTTGTCCTATCCCCGCATGCCCTTGTAAAGCGCCCCTCTCCAGCTTTCTTGTTGGCCCCTTCATGCACGGGAAGGCTGCTATAAGGTCTCCCTGTTTATCAATTTATCTCCCTATTTAATCAATGTTTAAGCCTTAAAATTTCTACTTACATGTGCCTAGTCCTGATTTTTGTTGTTACTTTATTGTTTCTTGATCTGCAGCATCACAGCCATTAACTGACGGCAAATCTTGGTTTTATTATACTTTTTTTTTTTTTCAGAGACAAAACCTGTTTTACACACGACTCCTTGTGCCCCCATAACAAGCACAGTCTAGCTCAACTCCTGACTCCTTCAAAGGGTGCTAGATGATTGGAAAGGGAGGGGTAGCACTCATGCAAATTTTACATGGTAATGACGAAATAAGCACTTCCAGTTTTATAAAGATGCACGTTATCATGCAAGGCAGGCAACATACCTCTAAATTCTGCCAACCATTACTGTTTGAAAGCACTGATGGCAGTATGTTTAGCAAAACCAGCAAGATTTAATGATGCAAACCTTTGTCATCTTCTTTCAGGCACACATCACAAAATTCAATGATCTGTGCCAAGTCCACATGAAGTCCACCTTCAGCGTTTTCTTCAGAGATTTCTGCTCCTTTGGATTTCAAGTAAGCTCGAAGTTCTGCAGCCTTAAAACAAAAACCAAAGACAACACACACAAAAGTTTGTGAAGGGCAAAGTCAAAGTAATGAAATTTCTTAATGACTTTTGCTCTCCAGCCACTCCTTTGCTCCCACCACTTGCTCGCACTTCCTCTCACTTTCCTCTACTTGCCTTGTATCCTACAATACTCCCTCTCCTCCACTTTAAGGCACCCAAATCCCAAACATTGACCCAGTATAAGACGGTGCAGTAACTGAACAGACCACATAACTGTTGAGCTTTCTCACAGTATGAGCATGTCACTTATGGGTAGCTAGAGCACAGCAGGCCTAGTAAGTTTTCATGACAAAGATGCTTTCCTTTTTAATCTTTTTTATCTTTCACAGCCTTTGAAACTTCAGGCAAAACAATAAAACCATTTAGTTTGTCTCTTCACCAGAAAAAAAAAAAAAGGATATAAACCAAACTACTTCAGAGGAAGCAGAACTTACTTCTTCACACAAGTCAGAGCCAGTTCCCACTGCCATGCGATGACCCACCTTACCTTGTTAGAACTTAAGCCTACACCAAGAAATACCCTTCCCTCAACAACAGGCCTAAACATTCACATTCACCCATGGCTTTAGCAGCAGAACCACAACCCACAATCCCTCAGAAGCAATCTGAATGAGTGAGGCCACACAACTTTTGGCAGAAGGGGACTCCAACCAGGCTGCTACCCTGACACCTGCGTCGCTGACATCAAGCTCAATGTCAATTCATTACAGAACCATAAGACACAGCTGAATGCTCTAGGACCCTTTATGGTACTGGAGATGTTTCAGATGGGTATTTACTAGACGTTTTGGCAAGTGAAAACTGAAGACTTGCAGTTGCGTATGCAGTTCCTGAAGATTTCTGTGTATACATACACATTGCTTTTAAAAGACACCGGAAACAACAAACCCTACAACTCAAAATACGAAACAAAAAAAGATCTTACAGAGAAACCCCACAGTTCCCATGCCTGTAGCGCTCCCAGACTCATAGGAACGCACCAGCCCGCACCTGAACTAGTTTCCCTCTCCTAAATAAAAGTGTACTGCTGAGGGGAGATGAGGCCAAAGTCCCGAGAGATGAAGGCCTGGAAGAGGGACGCTAAAGCCACACACTTATCTGTCGGGCCCGGGCCCCGCTCCTCCCGCCCCGCGCAGGCCTCCGCAGCCCGGACCCGCTTCTCCGCCCCGGCCTCCCCGCTCCGCTCCCCCGCCGCTCCCCGACCTGATCCTCCTCCGTGATGTCGATGAAGGCCGGGACACTCATGGCTGCAGAGGCTGCCGCTGCCGGCCTGAGCACGCCGCCCGCACCGGAAAGGCACCCCCACTTCCGGTACCGCGCGCCGGTCACTTCCGCTTCCCCTCTTCCTCCTCTGGGAGCGGGTCTCTCGAGCTCCTCCCCGCCCGTCGCGCGCAGCTGGGCGGGGTCGGCTTCGGCCGTTGGCTGTGAGGTGAGCGGCGGGAAGCACGAGCGGCTGGCCGTGCCTCGCTCCGCACGGGGCTGTCCGGGCCCCCCGCGGCCCTGGAGTCCACCTCACGGTGGGCTCGTGGCAGCGGGCAGCGCCGCTTCAGTGCTCCTGTGTGGCGCAGAAGGGAGTAGCTGGCCGCCTTCAGCCAGGTATCCCCATGGGTGCTTGTGCCTGGGTGCGGCTGGTGTTCCACTGATCCCACGTGGAAAGAAAAACGTTTCTTTTCCCTTTCCGTATAAAAGTTTTATTTCCAGCCCCCGAAAAAAAAAACAAAACAAAAAAAAACCCCAACAAACTACCCAGAAAACAACCAACCAGGCTGAGTTCTTACATAGTCCTTTTTTCTGGAAAAGTTTACATAATAGACGCAGCTTTGATATGTTGAGAGTGGAATGTGGTCAGAGAAAGGGCAGGAGTTTCTCACCAGACACAAGTAAGCTGTTGCTTAATTTAGTCTTGCCACCTGAGCTCATACTCCAACTGAAAGTAGTGAATTGAGACTTGGTGTTACCAGTGTATTGCGTGCTTTTCCACCCAAAGAATATGAAATCTATTCAACTGGCACAGCAGCAGGCACATAGCTTGACTTTTCCTGACATTTCAAAGGCTAAAATGAAAGCTGGGAAAAAGAAAACTACAAGAAATCTTCCCTGTGACTTATGCTAAGCATTCAGTGGATACAGAAATTTAGAATACACTTACGCAGGTTCACAAATATTTGGGTTAATTATTTTCTGAATAATTAATTATTTAATAACTCATTTAATAAGAGCTGCAAGGTTTTGAGAGAAGGCTTTGTGGATGGCCTTGAAGTCAAGTCCCTGATAGGAAATAATTACATGAGCTACACAGGGCCTGGAGGTAGTGTTCTGTGCCTCAAGAGTTTAAATAAATAATCTGCAATATCAGAAAAGTTACTGACTTACTGATCATGCCACTGAGTGCCTTCCTAATGTTGACACTGCTTAGCAAAAAGTGCCTTGCTCTGCTGTTGGCGAAAACACTCATTTAGCCCCAGTTTTGCAAAGGAGATATTAGGAATAAATATGGAAACACAAATAAAAAGAGGGCTTAATGGTGTCATTTGGTGTTCTCAGTGGTTTATGTTTAGAAATCATTTACACAAACCAGAGACTGGTTGAATGTTAATGGCAGCCTTGGATTTTTCAAAGAGGTTTGCCAATATATTGACAGGAAACCAGGAAAAACTAGCAACTGATAACAAACTCAAGGGATGGCTAGACTAAAGGATGCCACTCCAGACACCTGCTGTGCTTAAAACCCAGCAGATGCTATTTTTATTGTCTTGGAAATTCCCTGTGGAAATTCTTAATTCCTCAGGAAAACAAGTCTTGCTGGATTCAGCTCCACTGGCCAGTGACTGCGAGTGCCACCCCTCCTGCAAAAGCTGAAAAAAATGAATTCTGCCGTGGAGTTACTGGGTTAGGCTTAGGGTTGCAGGAATCAAAGACCCAGCCTGAGGTTTGGGGGAATATGGTGAGCTTGTAGTACAGCCTTTGCATTTTTTAGCTCTGTGTGCTGAGTTTTACACGTTTGTATCACGTCTTACACACATAGCATGATTCTATCACCTGCTTTTGTTTTGGATCACCAAACTTTTCGGGAACTGTTTCTAATGTTGGTTTTATATAAAATATGTAGAAGATATTGGGAGCACCAGCAGTTTCCACCTTTTATCAGTAGGGGTTGAATTAATTATTAGTCCCATCACCTTACTATCATTATACCCACCATAGTTTGCAGAGACAAATAAAAGTATCTCTTAAAAACTTACCTAACTTTTTAAAGTCAGTAAGAATCCTGTACACAAACATCCCTTTTCTGTTTTTTTTTTCTCACCTACAAACCTGACCAAGTAGTGACTAGACTTAATTACAGAGTCTGAGCCAGAGCAGGCGAGGCGCCTGCTTGTGAGTTTCCACAGCACTGGGTACAACAAACCCGATAAAGGCGCACACTGTCTTTCATAAAGTCCATGACTCAAATTAGTTTTGATCATCTACATGCTTGTATTACTTCTGAATAATGGTTAAACTCTTAATTTTTCTATCATCCAAATCCTGGCTAATGAATTTATTCCAGCTTGAGCAGTATTTTTTAAGTAAAATCCCTATTTAACTGGTGCATTCTTTTCACTAAAAGTCTTTTTAATATGTTAGTACTACCTGATTGATAGTTTTACAAGTATTTTGTAGGCCAGCATTCTAGAACGTATAGGTGGATATAGAGATGGATTTCTCTTTTATGTGCCTAATCTGGAAAGGGATCTGATTTTCAGAGGATGAGTGTCTAAACCTTTTTAATGTGCAGATGACTTTCATCTAGGACTGCTTAATATACTGTGGAGAGAAGAAAGGTAACTTGGCAGCCAGCATTCTGGGGGCATAGGGATATATCATCCCTTTGATTTGCACAGATCTTTAGGAGACAATTCAGGTGCCCAGTACCATTTGTGTTCTGGGATATCGTGCATGGCTGCAGGGTGCCATGAGTCTCCTATAAATGCCACGCTGTGCCTGAGATGCCTGATGCAGATGTCTCAGGTACCCCAGGGTATATAAATGAATAAATAACACAAGTTGCATCAGGAACTGACTCCCAACCTCACTGCCTGCTTTTTGTTTAGGTAGTGCACCCAGATGGAGGTTTGTTGTATATTATGCTAAATATAAAAAATAAAATAACCATTGATCATGCTGGGTACACAGGACATGACTCTAAAGAGCTCTGCTGAAATATCCACATATGGTATGTTGCATGATACTTTATTTGTCCCAGATGAATTGAGATGATAGGTGATAGCTGGGATCTGAACTTGTGCATCAGGAAGTCCACTTTGAATATGAAGGGGGCAGTATATGTTTTGTGAACCTACCAATGTAAAGAGGATGTAGTGGAAGAATGGGTTTCAGTTTTATTGGAATGATGACATTTCTGTGGAAATGAGGCAGTTGTTTATAGCCCTGCCTGCAGCTTGCGAAGTCAGGTCAGAAACGGGGCGTGGATGGTGTTAAAGCTCCAGCGGGGGCTGCCAGGGTGGGTGCAGTAGGGCTGGGGAGCCTCAGCCTCAGCCAGGCACTGCCCTGCAGGCTGGGGTGGAGCAGTGCCTCAGGGCCAGGCAACAGAAGGAACCCCGAAGAAGGTCACTTGCAGTTTCACAAATGGCTGAGGGGTGTGGCACTGTGTGTGTATGTTTGTATGTATACACATGGAGAAAGAAACATCCAAGTCTCAGCTGCTGAAAGAAAGAGATATCTATTTTGGCTGGCACCCACTATAAACTGTTTTGTTTTGATTCTGTAGGCAAACCAGAGGGAGAGAAAGAGAGAGGTGGAGGCTGCAGAAGTGGCATTCTGTCCTGTGTATTTGGAACATAGTGACTGAAGAGAACAAAGTTATCCAGGTGGCACATCTTAAAAGCATTCCTTATGGAGGCAGTAGCTCTTTGAAATCCCCAGACAGCTTTTGAAAGTAAAGGATTTAGAATTTGCTCTAGAAACTGACCACTTTTTGTTAAAAGCATTGATGAAACAAATTCTTAATATAGAAACGAAATACAGAGTTTATGATCATATAATTTTTATTTTTCAGAGTTGGTTTTTTTTTCTTTTTTTTTTATACCTCGGTATCTGTAGTGATGAGATGAAAGATGAGGTGACTCTGGAGAACTGGGTAAGGATAACTGCCTTCTGTGAAAACTGGCTGATGACAGCTATAGACCTTTTCATTCCTGTACTGTAGTACTTTTTGTGCTGAGTGCCCTCTTGAGGTCTTGGGCACACAGTGACCTGAACAAATGCCGGGTAGTGTGGCTGTACCTGAGGCGTCCCTAAGTCCTTCCTTTAAGTTTTCCCTCTCTTTTTCTGTCCTTTGGGAGAGAAGTTCAGACCTAGTCTGGGGGAACACAATTAAGTCAGCTTTTAATTTAAGACAGAATTATGGACAACAAGTTCTTCAGGTTAAAAAATAATTAAGAACTTCAATCAAAACCCCAATGAGCCAAACTAAATCTGTTTCAGATTCAGGAGCTTTGCTTAGCTTTATCGGTATATAAAAATGTGCTTCCTACTTATGTTTCTGGTTTTTCACTAGTTCTGGCTGGCACTAAAGGGAAAATCTCTTCTCGGAAGACGTAGCAGAGATCTCAGGAGGAAGCCTGTTGTCCTTATTCTTCCAGCTAAACTCTGTAGCTGGAGGAACTCTGGATGACTTCAGTAAGTACAGTAACTTTCAGGTGCTTATCTGGTTTTCTTACAAACTGTAAATTCTCTGCATTTGCCCACTTACTCCAATTCTCCCCCCAAAATACCTGCATTTATCCTGACCAGCATGCTATCTTCATTCAACGCATTTGTTACATATCCTGAGTTTAAGAAGTAGAATTCAATATTGTGTCATTATTAGCAATATTTGGTTCTGCCATGATTAATTTTGCCTTTGAAAAACCTTTAGAAATATATTTTGTTTGGACTCTAAATGTACTTATTTTGCTGCTAATGTAGCAGGTGTTATTCTTAACCATTTTTTTTGAGAAATCTTAAATTTAGAGGAAATGAGCACTCGATTATTTAAATTTCCTGAGATTAGAGGGAGAACACTTTGCCAAATAATGCCTCTTCACTTCAAAACCTCTCCCCATAAATTACGTTAGGAGATCTTATTAAAAGTCTGTAAAAATTTCCTATTAAAAATGGTTGATTGCAGTCCAGACCATCACAGCTTTTGTGCTTTCAGTGAAATACCACAGCTGTCGCAAAGAAATATATTGTGAGACAAAAGGTTTTGTTTCCTTAGTCATAAATTATTTTGGTGATGCCTGAAGTAAGATAAAACTTTCACTTATGTTTGAGTGAAGGAAGATTTCCAGTGATAACTTGTTCAAAAA